AAACCATCACCTTTCTAAGTAATCCCGGTGCTCTGAGTGATGAAAAATGAGCTACAGTACGGAGAAAACGAAACTAAAGGAAAAACGCTGTAGGCAGTACGCAGCTGGTTAGCAAGTCACTAGTGGACTCCCATTGTGAGTCACAAAATGCACTACCAAAGTCTGATAGTAAAAGAAAATTCCACCCTGACGTGATCGAGAAGGAGAATCTATTATTATGAGTAAATTGCCGTGGTCAAACGACCTTGGTCTCGAAATCAGACACGTGCATGATTTAGAGAAGCTGGGAGAATCTATTCGTAGTATTTTTCCAGATAACTCTAAAGGAGTTCAGGTCGAAAAATTGGTTAGAATAAGTAAGAGGATCGAGGACAATGTTAAACCTCGACAATGTAGACTCTTTAAGGTAATCCTAGGATCAGAGAAGTAACGTGATCTCCTGGTAAGTAGCGCTAGCATTCACGACAATTCCGATATCCTAGTTAGACGTGGTATGTCTCTTGAAGATAGAATAAAAAGGGGGAAGGCACTAGCTGAACTAGAAACCCGTCGACAAAACATTGAACGAAATCTCCGGTTAGTAGGTATTCGGATAGTCAGGTCTTGGAAGCGAATGCTAACAAGGCCTGTGTGGATAGGCCGTTCTGCCTTAAAGTTTCAAATACTAACGCTGGTGGTGTATGAAATAAGTTCTATGAACTAGAAGCATTAGTGGACAAATTAAGGCCACTCATTGTAGCAGTGGAAGAAACGTGGTTAGTCCATGACCTAGACATTACTCCAGAATTATCCGGATACCATTACCTAAGGAGTGATAGACATAGATGTAGAAAAGGAGGTGGCGTCCTGTTATATATAGCCAATAATATAAATATCCGCTCCTCTAATAGCGAATCCCATGACAGCGGTACTTGTGAAGTCGTTAACTAACTTAGAGCACATTCAGCTTTGGAGTGCAAATACCAGATGCCTGATAATAGGAGACTTTAATGCACCTGACATTAGTTGGACTGAGATGACCACGGAAGGATCTATAAACTTTCGATAGTAGGTTCCTGATAACAATAATGGAGCATGCATTAGTGCAGAATGTATCCAAACCCACACGTTTCGGTGCTAACCAAAGTTCTTCTCTGTTGGACTTGGTAATCACCCATGAGACTGATGATATTGTCGACCTGTTAGTGAACAGTGATCACGCTGTTTTGTCATTCACCTTTAGAACTAGGGACATGATATGTGATCAGATTACACCCCACCCAAATGTATGGAGAGCTAACACATCAGCCATTCAGGAGTGCGCTGCTCAGACGGATTGGTCGGTAGATACTATTTCATCAGTTGAAGCATAGTCCATGTTGAAAGACAAGTTTGGTTCAGCTACATCCCCGTTTATACCATACCTGATAACACGTAGACCGAATAAATGTCGACCATGGGTAGCTAAACAAGTCAAGAAAATTCTTAGATGTAAAAAAAGCATTGGAATATGTTCATCTCTACTGGCTTAAAACAGTAGAGATCCAGTCACTGTTAAATTAGGAATGCTTATAAAGCGTTGATAAGTAAGACTAAACAGTCGTATGAAAACAATTAATTGGGGATTGTAGATATAGTCCGAAACGGTTATTCTCATATATAAAAAGGCGAACTCAGAGAAGTGATGAAATTCCACCACATTTGGTACAATAAAATCCGTTAATATTGGCAAGAGATGATGCCAAAAGCGGTGAAGCTTTATCGAAATATTTCAGCAAAGTGTTTTCTATAAGCAGTAAAGAACGACAAATGATTAATTGTGATTATGGCTGCTTATTGATGGACCCTGTGGTTATTGAGAAAGGTACTGTTTTGAGAATGCTTCAGCATCTCAAACCTGATAAGTCCAGTTGTCCTGATGATATTCATCCTAGGATTCTGAAAGCCTTATCAGACGTAATTGCTAAATCTTTAGCGACACTGTCCGACATGGATATCTGTTATAAACTATGTTGAAGGGCATAGTCTTTTCTCCAGGGAACAACATGGTTTTCGGAGAAACCTGTCATGCTTGACAAATCTTCCCATTGCAAGAGAAGATTGGGCTGCGGCAAAAGATCGGGATATTCCTGTTAATGTGATCTCCATAGTAAGGCCTTCGATAAAGTCTTCCATTCTGGTCATAGATTCGAACTGGAACGTTTTGGAATCCTTTATGAGGTCATAGACTGCATAAGTGAATTTCTCCATAGCAGGAAACAAAGGGTAAGGGTTGATGGAGCTCTCTACTCTTGGGTCTCTGTAAAAAAATGGAGTTCGCTAATGTACAATCCGCGGTTCCCTTCTCTTGTTACTTTCTGTGAATTAATTACCAACTGCAGCAAAATCATTCACTCTACTCCTTGCTGATGATATAAAAATTTAGAGAGCCATACACAGTATATCGGATAGAACAGTATTACAGGATGATCTCAACTCACCGATGGCATGATTGGACAGATGGTCACTAGAAGTTAATCTCATAAAGAGAGTGATGATGCAATTAAATAACGATGATGACTCGTATCACTACACAATATGCGGATTCGTGCTACTCAAAGTAAGAAATTATAGAGTCACATTAAGCAGTCAGGAGTCATATTAAGCAGTGATCTTAAAACCACCAGTCACTATTAAGCTTTTGCTGCGAAAGGCTATAGGGTATTAATGTCTATTCGCAGGTCTTTTCAGTATTTAGATGATTAAATGTTTAAATTATTATGCCCGATTTATGTGGACTGCATTTGGAATATGGGAATCAAGCAGCGAGTCATCGTTTCAAGTATGAAGCAGATATGCTAGAAAGAGTCCAACGACGAGGTAATAAGATGGTAACATTTCTAACTGGCCTATCTCATGAAGACAGACTGGGACACCTTAACTTATTTCATGGGCAGCATCTCCTATGTCAGGTGACAGTTAGATTTTTTGAGTACCTTTGATAGTGGTAAGGTGCAAGTGTCTCGAGAGTCTTGTAGCCACCTAAAATTCACGAGACACGTGAAAAATCTTAGTGGCAAGAGTTCAGAAGATAATCTAGAATAAATAGTATTCATCTCTTGATATTACGTTACACAAGTAAATCGATCATACAACTGAATGAACTGTAGCAATACCAACATACAAAGGATGTGAACCAAAAGGACTTCTAACAGACGTAGCATTGAATTTTAATCTAGCACTTTGAGCTGAGATCTCAATATGAATCGAGTAGGAAGAAACTTTGTTTGTACACGTCAATCCACACGGTATTGCATACATATACGTTTTTGAATTACGTAGCCAGATCCCGGGCTTATGACTACTAGTATGGATAGCAACCAATTAAGAGTGAGAATAATCGTTGACATGGAATGCTTATTCTTATTGATAGATAGAAAGCATTGCAGCCACCTCAATTTCTGAAATCTACAAAAACTCGACGGACTTAAAAATGTATGAGCAGGTTATATCTATATTGAATGTAAAATGTTATATTCCCAAATTTACCGCTTATTTACAGAACTACAATTCTAAGGATCTTGAGATGTGGGTAGAAAGGAAGTTAAATTCCATTTGGTCAAATAAAGTAAGTATATACTGTAGTAGGGATACTGATACCTGTTAGCCAGAACATGTTAGTTAAAAAAACCTGTTATACACGGAAGGGATTTACAGGGTTCATGTCAGTGATCATAACTCGAGAGAAAATGCCAGACCTCTAAAATGCACCTGGTTTGATTATAGATGGATAGATCGGTATCCAGTTTCGTCTGTAGTTACAACACACTTCACAATGAATAAGATGTTTACAGGGCACAAATCTAAGGACGACTGATACCAGTCTTTGATCACAACATGTTTCTAACATCTAGCCATAAGTAGACAGATACTTAGCATGACAGAAATGCTTTCCATCTAGGTATGCTTCTCCCCGGGTTTCCGTACAGCTCTAAACCTGAGAACAATTTACTATGATTCCTCAGTAGTTAAGTGAGTAACAATTGTTGAGCCACTGAAAATGACTTAAGAACCATACACCTCTCATAGTCCTCTGGTGTTTTACAAATTACAATTTTGTACCAGTTGTTATAAATTGTGAGCCTGTGTGCCCTGTTAATGCATAAGTGATGACACCACCAATTAGGAAGCAGTGACTTGTCAATCAGATCAATGACGCGTAAAACACGTACGAGCAGCCCAGAGTCTTGCTTTCCGCCTAGCCCAGCCAGTTAAGTTCAGAGCACCAATCTCAGCCTCTTCAATATGAATCATTTATTTCACCAGTAAATTGTGTACGGTGAAAAAACTAACGATGTAGAAATAAATCGAAACGGAGATTAAAACATGATTATAGCAGAAAAAGCAAGGCCTACGGCCGTACCAACCACCACTAATTTACAAAGCTGGATAACATGGATGTGACAAGCCAAGTATTAACTCACTCATATATGTTGTAACATTGTTTATATCATCTCATCTCATCTGACGATCGTACACGGAGCATATTCCATATTGTTTCGATACCATTTAAATTACGGACTAATCGCTTGATTATTCCACTTAACCTGTAAATAACTCGGATTTCTAAAGTTCAACATTTTTTATCAAGCGTTTCAAGTTTAATTAAACGGTTCTTATTGATTAAACACATCCCGAAAATACCAATAATGTTAATCTTACCGCGGCTTAATTCCTAATGTGACTTGCTTTGAATATTGGCATAAAACGTAGTATAGAACTCATAAATAACAGTTTCGAAGAAAACATTACAAAAATTTTGATTGTTTCTAACCTCAGAAGTACTTTTTTATTTCAGTCAGTAGGGAAAAAATATGGGAAGAAGAAATTTCCAGGAAATATCTATCCCGATCTCGAACAAAAGCGAATAAAATTTGAAAACATTGATGATTTTGATAAACTATTTTATTTGGTGAATGAAAATGAAGGTACAGAGGAATAAGTTTTATCAAGAAAAACTATATATACAGAACCTTATAATGTTATAATGCAGATCCGTTAATCGGCTGTAGGTAATAATCCTAAAAGAAATAGAAAAGTTACAAAAAGTCAACGCTATTTTATTTCAACGAACTTTACAAAGTTGATGATGAACGATAATAAAATCTGAGTTACAGTGATACGAAATAGTTCTCAAGGGTGCAATTCCGTTACACAAACTACAAAAAATATGGATCATAATCCGAAATAAAAATCTCACTTATACATCGATACGTTCGTATGTATGGTTTCAGCCTGAGGAAACTTCAGGAGAAAATACTAGCACTGTTTTTCATTGAATTCTCGAAAAGACAACTTCTAAGAAAACATTTTGATGGGAAATGACGAGTTGAGTTTATTACTAGTTTTATTGTTTAAACAAATAAACATTGGTACGAGGCACCAAATAAATATGTGTCACACGAATCATTTGATTTGTGTGTGGGCAGTGATACAGCCTGGGTGCCCAAACCGAAGAAGGTAGTCATTTTAGAGGGCCACGCCCCGAGCCTTCGACCTACAGGTCTAATCCACAAGGCAGCAGAGCAACGTCAGGAGATGCAGTCTCATGGTAGCCGGTGACCAATAACTAGTTCATACTCCATTTGTTCCTTCAGGATACTGGAGCCCATGTATACCATTGGTCTGGAATCAGGGTTTCCCAACTCCCCTAGATGGATCCTCGATATCCATCAACCCGGTTGGAGCGCCGTACATTCGCTTTTCGTTCTCAATTTCGTAAACAGCATCCCCGCCGCGATAAGGTAGTGAGTAGGGACTTCCCTGACAGTGGTTGTATACGCGTGGCCATTTGAGAACATTTCGAGAGAGCCCTCTCGACCGTACCAGGGTATTTCGGGGCTACTAGACAGGAATATGCAGGATGAAATCAATACGCCATAACCCAAGACCAGAGCAAACAAACATTAAACTTGTTCCATGAAATATAAAAATGATTGATATGGTTAAACCACAGAATATCAAAAGCACAACGAAAGTAATCGAGAAAAAGTTAGTATTTATCTATGTTAACTGCTTAAAGCCCTTATGTTTGATTTCATGTAATCCTGAATTGAGATTGACATGGACTAATCTAAGAAATATAGCAAAGACGGTAGTCCTTCTTTTTTTATATGACTACACCCTTTCATTTTCAACAATTATTTCTTCCGAAAGTACTCCAATGAAATTAAAAATTGGCCTCTTGGTTGATTTTTAATGAAAAAGAACCATAGTGAAAATCTCAAAGTTCCACTAACTTATGGAGTAAGAATTCAAATACTTTTTCATTGTCCTGAAGAATTTTGAGACTGTTCACAGCTGTAAACAATTAAAGTGGGATACTATTACACATTTATAAAATCTTAAGTTAACGTAATATGAGTAGCAAGAGAAGCGTCGCATTGGATAATAACATGAAGGGAGAAGACAAAAATCAAGGGAAACGTCACATAAGGTCCTAAAAGACACCCGTTTCATTTCAGTGCATAGATCTGTTAAATGTGACAGAAAACTAAAATACAATGATTGAAATCAACTTTAGCCGAAACTTATAAACTAATCAGTTCGTTCGATTTCCAACCGTATGAAACCCTATGCAGTTATCAAAGATGCAGCAATATGTGATAGTTGGATACATATATTCTTCATCATAAAATAAAGGATAACCGGGTAGTGGTTCATATGTAATATAATTAACAATCTTCTCGTGAAAACTACTGTTTACTGTATTTATTTATCTGAAGTTTTACCCACACAAGTGAGCTTTTACTACCTTAAAATTTTTTGTACTTACTGGGATGTAACAAAAAATGTATTTATTATCAACTCTACACAATGCTCAATTTATTTGAAGCTATGTAGCCCAACCTTGGTATTGATACCTAAACCTTAACTAAAGTTTTTTCTACTAATGCAAAAAGAATCTATAGCAGATAAATTACTATGGATACAAGCGTAGAAGAATGATACACATGAAAGATAAAGAACTAGAAGATTTTTGAATGTATACAAAACTCTGTATACAGCATTTTGTTCCTTTTAGTTTGTCAGCTTATTTAAATATAACTAAGAAAGTCACATTTTCGCGACCCATTTTAAGTCCTACGAAGTCATTTCTGTATACTTTCAAGTTAATGAATACACTAGAGAAACTTAACTTTATGAAGCGGTAAGGTTTACATCCCGGATTCCGTTTGACATCGATATTAATCAAGGATTATTTCGATGAGATTTCTCTGAACTAACTACCGAAGGTTAGGTTTCCCAACTAACGTTTACCATGGTAATACAAATATTTTAAACATACCTATATTGATTAGTGGTATTTGGGTAAATAAATTTTCTCGATTTAAAACAAACATGGTTTGAGTATGCATATAAACATACACTCGAAATATTTTCGCACGTTAAATTAATTTTCAAAATAAAAATGTTACTTCACTCTACGCCTCATGTAACTGACGATTTCTGTGTTATGTCGTGATAAGACGTACCCACTATGTATCCTAAGATCAAGTGAGTTATTTCAGCATGAAACAAAAAACTGATCAGAAAACAAACCTCTCTACGCCTAGCTTCCATGAGTTTACGATTATTCTCTTCAAGTATTTTGTCCAATTCTGCTTGTTTACGTTTTTCCTCCTCCTGGAATAAGGAGGAACATTAAGGAACAGTTTCACATATAAAAAAGTGAACAAAATATCCTACATACATGTAACGTAAATGTGAAACCATAATACTGACATTCAATCGATATAAAACAACTGATTACTTTGATACATTTGGGATTTTCTGGGGAAATCTGTACTTCTATAGCAAACAGCTTAAATAAAATTGTTAGCTTATTCAAAATCCAGAATAACTAAAAACAACGAACAGTAAGTTCTGGTATAATATACTAAATCACATGAAATCTTGTCTTAACGCAGTCTTAACAGATATTGTTACACATTATATCAGTTTAAAAGATATGCAAAAGTACATCATACGACTGAGGGCTACTTGTTCAAATAATTGTGATCTAGTAGAAGATAGGGTAACCATACCAGGTGGTAATTCAGCTATACCATAAGTATACTCCCATAAGCAATACTCTCATTTCCTACTAGGAAATCTGATTCTCAACAAACAATCGAAATCCTGAGAGATAATGAAATGAATTGACCACTATAAATATTTTGCGAATATCGAAGATCGTAAGGCATATTTCCAAAACGTACTTAAAGTGTTTATTAAGTTGCTACCACTTTACGTCATAATGTGAGATATCTAATTGATAACGAAACATAGAGTAGGGTGTGCAGGTATATATTTCATTACTCTAATAATACTAAATATAGCTTAGTTGTGGCGAATAAATTACGGTCAATAAAAAGCCAAAAGAAAAATGCCAAGCGAAAACCCAGTAAACGAAAAAGTGGCAAACAGAAATATGTTGGTTTAATAAAGATGATATATAATTGAAATACAAGTAAATTTATAAAGCCCTACGACCCTGTGGATTTTTATCCTTTAGAGAATACTTTTAGTGCCTACGTTGATCCTCTAACAGAATAACGTCAGACGAGAAACAACTTCAGTCTCTCCAAACTTAGATTACCACTGTCTACATAAATTTATTAACAGAAAAATCTCCATGTTTAAATTTTAAACAATCGAGCTAATCTATATCAAATAAAACAATTGAAATCATGAGCGACAAATAAACAACAAACAATAACTAAACGTAACGACTTTGCATCGTAAGTACTGAACAAGTTATCAACTAACTCCAAACTGTTTATAAAGTTACCTCCATACGTCTCTGTTCTTCCAGCTTGCTTTGGTATTCACGTTCGATCTCATCTAGTTTATTTTTAACTCTCCGGTCAATTTCCGCTTGATATCTTCTTTCCAATTCAGCCTGAAGGTCTTCAGCCCTATCTACTAAAGCAGCTTCGAAAGCCTCTGTAACCCGAGCTTCTAACTGTCTGGCTGCTTCCGCCTCCCGTTCACGTTCCTCCTGCAACCGTCGTTCTCTGAAGTATGGAGGATATTATAATCATGTTTCGTTAAAAAGTAAAAAATATCAAACTGGTCTATTTCCAGTAAGCTTACTTCAGTTGTGACAGGGAAGTAGCATTACTAGTGCGCACACTAAGTATGGCTTAAAGACGATAATCGATCAATCATAAACAGAGACAATAGTATGAGATTATTATTTATTTTAACACATAGATACTAGTACAAGGAGGCACCAAATACATATGCGCCACACAAATCTCGATTGATATGTGTGAGGGGTGTGATACTGCCCGGGTGCCCAAACCGAGGCAGGTGGTTGTCTTAGGGGGCCATGCCTCGAGCCTTCGACCTGAACGTCTGACCCACAAGGCAATGGAGCATCGTAAGGAGATGCAGTCCCATGGTAGCCGGTGACCAATGATTGGTTCATACGCCATTTGTTCCCGCAGGATACTGGAGCCCATGTACACTATTGGTTTGGGATCCGGTTAAAGAATCGGACATTCTCTTTTCGTCCTCTCATTTTCGTAAACAACATCCCCGCCAAGTGAAGGCAGTGAGTAGGACTTCCCTGGCAGAGGCTATATACACGTGGCCATGTGAGAGCATTTCGAGAGGGTGAGCAGACTCTCCCCACTCTCGGCCGTACCAGGGCATTTGGGGGCATAGTATGAGACCAACTACACAGACATGGACTTGGTAAATGAGTACCATAATAACGGACAGTACAGCGTGAATCTATGCACAACTCAAAACGGTCAGTAATTTCACGGACTGGTGAGACGCAGGGTATTAGGGAATGATGGTAAATCAGTTGATGAGGTTATGAACCTTCATCGACTGAGATGGTTGGGCCACGTGCTGCGTATGCCTGAACACCGATTACCACGGCGCGCAATGCTAACCGGTGTTAGGGATGATTGGAAGAAAGTTAGGGGCGGCCAAACCAAAACGTGGCATCAGTGCTTGAAGTCACTAACTTCTGGTCTGAGCCATGTTGGTAGATGTAGACTGCCTGGTTGGGGTCCGCGTGACTATCGTAACCAATGGTTGGAGACTCTTGGTGACATGGCTCAGAATCGATCACAATGGCGTCGGTGTATACACTCTCTGTCTTCCTTAAATTAAGAGATTAAAATCACTTCAAATCTTTCTTTCTAGGAACTAATTCTTTCTTCCTGTACTATCTCCTTATACACAATCTTTCTTCTATATATTACCACCACTGCAATTAACTACTATGAATCCGGTGTTCATCTTGTTGTGCTAATGCGGTATGGCAACTTGGACCGATGCATATACGTGCCTGGTCCTACGTTGCAGCTGACTGACTCATGGACTGGTGTTGTGTCTTCAACTTCAGTAGAAATATGAAAAACCGATCATATAAATTAGAACATATAAGCAAACAACATTGTTTCTAATTATATCCTCACCAAGTTTAACAGTTATATTTATATACATATATAATAAATAATAATATATGATTGGTCATTTCATCTATTTCATTGTTATCATTGACTGACAAATTTCCTTGACGGACTAGAAAGCCTGGTGTCAATAAGACTGATTATGTTTACTAAGGATGTGGAATTACTGCGAGCAATTCGAAAGCATGGCAATAAGTTAGCTCTGAAGGATTTAACTGAACTTCACAATTGGTCAGACAGTAAGAGACTGACACAACTCTGAAAAGCGCAAGATGATCTATTTAAAACACGTCAGCAACATATACAGTTCGAAAGACTAACGTTCTCTAGCGTCGTAGGAAGAAGATTTGAGCTTTGGTTACATATAACCTCACATTTAATACTGTGACATGAATGAATTATAGGCCAATCTAGCGTACGTAGCGCGTCCCAATCTTTGATAAAAGAATTCCCAATCAGTTTAAAACCGCCTTATACGGCCGAGTTTAGAGTGAAGAAATAACATTTTGCAAGACCAATGCTTTGAGGCGCATTCAACAGAAAATTTAACGGGGACATATGGTAAAATCTGGTTGTTTCCCTCTAGAATACTAGGGACTGGAAGACTATATTATCCTGACAAATGGTTTCGAAAGCCATCATTGGTTTTTAGAACCTAGTCTCAACACTAACCCTAAGGAGAGAATTTAAAGGTTTGAATTTGAATGTAGCTAATCTACTCAAATTTGCTTTTTTGACGTTACTGAACAGAAAGCACATATCTCTTTAAACATTTAACGGATTCATGTAGCGAACTGAGTCCTATTTTTTCTTTCTCAACCTCTGTTGATTTTTTCACATACATAAGTCTTACCCGAAGGCAAAGGATGATAGATTCCGCCAGAAATATGGCACCTGGTTAGAAGCAAAAGCTTCTCTGATATGATGGAAAGAAAAGTCGAGATTTGATTGATTTACTCATTATGAGTTTTATTCAACATTACTTTTGTTTTGATTCAATGTAATGATTACTCAATGTAGCACTTATTTTCTTTCCTCGTATGATATTTTATTCTGTATAATATACGATATTCTTTTATTCCATTGACATGAACTATGCTCTATATGTGATTTGTGATAACTGAGTATTTTCCATATGTGTGATTTCATTCTAGTTATTAATCAAAATGGGTGTACAATCAATATATAAATGAGTGTATTTTCGACTAAGGTTGTCGTCATCATCATAGTGTTTTGGGGCTAATAAATCTTCACTTATAACAGTCTTGTGTTCTTACTTTCGCGTCGTGGGAATTATGGAGGTCCCTTCGTTAGGAGTATAAGTGGTCAGCGATTCTGACATAACAATCAGCGGCGACCAGATACAAAAAGTAGCGTTCGACACACAAGATATAACATTCTCTCACTTAATTTGATGACAATTGCAACCTAATAGTCTTTATAAGAGACTAGTTTTTTCTGTACAATGTGTAGAGAACAGTTAAGGAAACCTCATTTATTTGTTTGGGGAGGACGTAGACAAAATGAAATATTATGAAGGCCTTAGTGATATTCCATGAATATTTGTGGTGCACCCAACTAGTGACATTCGAAATTTCGCTTTGAAACTAATTTACTTTAATGCATAGTCTGATCATAAAAAATGTAGTTGAGTGTATTGAATCTGCCCACCTTAAGTCTTAACAGGTTTGACATCTGGAGAAACCTCAGTGCCGAGGCATAGTACTCAGTTGAATTTAAGTCATAGCTCAAGCGAGTACACTACACAACACACCACTATCACCTTATAATAGTGAGATGTGAATGTACAGGACATATGCAAGTCAATACCATTTAATTATCTCTCCAAATTAGTGATTATACATAAACGAACCATTAATTAAACATGATACTATATGGAGTACTAAGTAAAAACAGAAACTCAATTAGTAAAGCCACGAACGTTCATCAATCAACGTAGTTAGGATATATTACCCATACCTACTCGCTTCATATAGATGAGCAATAATTTCACTTTTAATATTTCTAAATGACTCAGATTTATTACAATCCTACATTTTCTTAATTGTTGGTCCATTTATTGCTTATAAATTTTGAAGTATGGAACCCCATTTTATTTGATTATTTTTCGTCATCTCAACTTATTCTATTTATATGATGGTGAAATAAAAAGATAGTGCGAACCAAAATAAATGAAGTGATATTCTGGTGTTTCGCGGCAAGACTTATAAGTTTACATAAGAAAATAGAGTATAAAGCGATAAAAATTCCAATATACTAAAATAGAACATTTGGTCTAATTTTTTAGTCATACAGTGGTTAGGATGCCTAAAGCATGTTTTTATAAGTGTGGTTAAAGCTAACAAAAGCCTTGAGTGGCAAGGCTTACATACGAAGCGCTGAGAGCTTTGAGCGATGCTAAAGTGACCTTAAGGATGTTCACATACTGACTAGGGCTAATTGAGAGTTATAAACCTGTGTGAAAAAATAAGGGTTATGAATTTCAGTTGATGGTTAGAGTTGTAAAATGGATTCAGGGTTCTCCTCACCAACTGTCATAAGCTAAAACGCTATTTAGCTAAATGGATGGATGAATTTTGAGCCAAAATTCAAGACCTGTTGCTCTAAATCTGACTGGTTTGTCCATAAAGTAGCGAGATTTAAATAAGATTGAATGCAAACACAATACATTGTGGATCTAATATGGCATATGCCATATCATTTTTAGAACAAAACAGTTACCTTTCTCGTTGCTCCAGAGCACGTTTTTCAGCTTCTTCTTTCCTTCGGGCCTCTTCTATTTTCCTATCTATTTCCTTCATTTTGGATTTTCGATTTCGCCTCTCTGCTTCACTATCGTAGCTTGATACCGTCGAACTTCTTTTTCTGAAACAGTACTAAAGGAAGAATACCGTCGGTTTACCTCCGTCTTCTGTCATGACGATGACGGTCTCGATACGACCTTTCGTTCCCTCTTATACGTACCCTATCGCGTTCTTTGTCACGATACCTGTCGCGCTCTTTGATCCTATCGCGCGAACGACTTCTGTACCGTCTAGGTTTCGACTTGTGACCACTAGACAGTGATCTGCTACGCGAACGGCCCATAAACGTAGCGAGGGAAAGGATATGGCCACTACTATTTTGACCTTGAATATCGTCAGGCCGAATTGAAAGCTTACTTATGAATTATGCTGAGTAATCTTTACAATCGAGAATGAAAATCTCCAAACTTTGAAAGTCTCAAAGAGAAGTTAATCACAGCGCTTAATTTGAAAATGGGAGCTGTTGCTGATTAAACTACCTGCTTCTAATTTCATTTCGATTATTTTCTTGTTTTGAAGCTTGTGTTATTGCTGCTTGATGCTTCCCTTAATGAATGTAAGTGCATATTTTGCGCTTGCTGGATCACTGACTCGGCTTTTCTTTTGTTTCTCTATTTCCCACCCACGATGTTCATACACCCCGAATACGCAGATTTGCGTACTTAAGTACCTTCTGGATAGAAATGAACGACTACAGATTTGTGACATATTCACACCAGAAAATTCAATTTTTCACCATCAGGTAGCCTTAATCTCAATCTTGTGTTAAGTTTAACCGTTGTTGATTGCTTTCGTTATTAAATGTGAGTGCATCTCATGTGCTTACTGAATAATTTGTTCATTTGTTCTTTTCTCCTATAGATTCCCTCATGTTCGATCCCATATACTCCCCTGGCTTACTAAATACCTTCAGGATAGACGCGGACCTATCAAAGGCTAGACGCTACAGGCTTTTATCATGATAAAAAGTTAGATCCGAGCACGTACTTAATGCTTAAAGAGATAATCAGCTATACGAAACTCTTTATGGACGTTCATCTTGACTACTATTAGCTGGGGCTTCAGTTTCTGGTACATATATGTGTTTTTCTCTATGCCACTCTTTCTTTTTCTTGACCGACTGAGTTCGTAAGCCCTTCGGGACGTTATCTCCACTTTGTTATCACTAGTGTATTTTATTGTTGCCACATCTCTGTTTTTTATGGTTTGTAGTGGTAAATAAATCCCCAAAATCAATAGCCCTGTAAGTTTTCTACATTGAATGCTGACCACATTAGTTTTAGTGGACTCATCTAGCTGAAGGCGCTCGGTCATGCATCCGCACCAGATCATGTGTGAGAACGCCGTGCTCAACATCTACCGCAATCGCTTGCCAGATTAGTTCAGACGATCGTCGATATATTGATAGCTTATCAAATATATCTTCGAACCTCCTTGCTTCTGTCTCTTGCTTTCACTTGGTGGGTACGATTCATATTAGGTGTTACTGGTTAAAGCACGGTCAAACTTCGAAAACCCGTGGCACTATTCATTGTTGAGCCCGACGTGATCTGGTACACCGAATTACAAACTGTGAGTCTGTTCCTTTTTGGGATTTTATGTCATTGTCTTATTTTAATTTTTTATACGTTGTGGTATTTTTCCCGTGTTTTTGGGTATATATATTTGTCACTCGTTCATTCTCGTACCTGATATTTCACCATGACCTAACAAACACCCAAGGTACTTAAGTTAAAGACCATGTCCTTACCTTCGTTCCAACTAGTGCCCTTCAGGGCAGACAACATCGAAGCCTGGTTCTGCTACGCAGAAGCCGACTTCCGCGAGCACGGCGTGAACGACACACATGCACAACTCCTCGCAGTAGTCAAGGCACTACCGCGCGAATTCAACAGGTATGTAACACCTAGTATGTTTACTAGTGATGTTTCTGACCTATGCAAAACCCTCAAACATGCCATCCTTAAACGCGGAGATCTAACCGATTGACAAAAGTTAGACCAACTCCTTAACAACATCGACCCGCAACACGGTTCTGCTACAGACATGTTGCAAAGAATGAGAGAAGTTATTGGCCAGAGAACCTTCGATGATGGCCTGTTCAAACAACTTTACTTATCAAAACTTCCTCAACAGCTGTGCTGGTCTCGTTTCAAAACAGCGCCGTAGACGAGCTGGCTGCATCTGCCGACCGCATCCTCGAAATCCCTAAATCTTCTAACGTCGAGGTTTTTTCAGTCAAAGCAAAGCCTCAAACGATCCAGAATGACGTAACAGAGCTATGTCACACACTTACGTGTTATCTGAAACTCCGTAACGACCGTCAACGGTCACACACCCCGCGAAGAAGCACATCACGTAGGCGATCTCTCTCTAAACCTCGAGAGACGGTTAATCTTGACTAGTGCTGGTATCATAACCAGTATGGAAAGTCCTCCAGAAATTGCAGTAAACCCTGCAATTTTCCCAACTCAAAATCGATCGACACGAAAAACGATTCGGGAAACTCTGAAGCCGGCGCGCGTTAACGGCAACCATAGCCGGCGAACATAGCCGCCTGTTATACGAGAGTTCGCTGCCTCGTCGATACTGGCGCAGACGTTAGCGTTCTCCCGGAGAATTCTAACGACCGGCCTCACGAATCGGTTTTAGTTCTACAGGCGGCAAACGGAAAGCCTATCGCTACGTATGGCAAAAGGTAAGTTTACCTCAACGTTGGTTTACGTAAACCTATTCACTGGATCTTTGCTGTTGCAGATGTTTCTATGCCAATCATTGGTATGGACCTCCTGCAGCATCACAGCTTAATCATCGATACGCGCAAACGGAGGTTAGTAGACGGAAACATCAATATATCTGTTTGCGTAACTTCCTTTTCTGGTTGCAAGTTATCTCCAATCACAATTAAGCACGCGACAGATTCATTCTTACAACCACTAATAAATAAGTATTCTAGCATATACTAACCGCAACCAAAATTGCTTTGTGTAACCAGCAACGTTACATATCACATCACGCCTACAAGACCGCCTGCATTCTCGAAAGCACGCCGACTGGCCTCCGAAAAGTTAAGGTTGGCGAAAAACGAATTTGACCACATGATAGACTAAGGTATCGTAGGGCCGTCAAACAACCCATGGGCATCTCCGTTGCACATGGTCCCTAAAAAAGACAGCAACGATTGGCGTCCAACTGGTGACTATCGGCGATTGAATGCAAAAACCACTGCCGATAGCTACCCGTTGCCTCACATTCACGCTTTGACAGCTACCTTGAAAGGTACAACTGTCTTTTCGAAAATCGACTTGATAAAAGCGTATAACCAAATCCCTATCGCTATTGACGATGTTCCGAAAACAGCGATCACAACTCTCCTCGAACTCCACGAATTTTTGCGAATGCCTTTCGGTCTGAGAAACGCCGCACGAACCTTCCAAACGTTCATAGACGACGTCTTTCGAGGTCCCAACTTCGTACATGTGTATGTTGATGACTGCCTAATAACAGGTCCAGACAGAGAATCGCATCTCCAGCATCTGGATTTAGTTTTTGATCGATTACAAAAACATGGTATTACTGTAACCATTCAGAAATGCCATATCGGAACTGACACACTAGACTTCCTAGGACACAGTATCAACAGGCGCGGAATCCGGACCCTTAGAACCAAAGTGGCGGCCATTCAGAATTACCAAGAACCGACCACCATGAAGCAATTACGTACGTTCAATGGCCTTGTAAGTTTCTATAGGCGGTTCATACCGAAATGCGCGTCCCTCATGAAACCTCTTACCGACCAACTTCGTGGGGATGCGAAATTCATCAGCCTGGAAGACATCGCACGAAAACATTCCCCATAGTTAAGAAATTTATTGCTAAAGAATTAATGCTTGATTATCAGGACACTAAAGCACCCATTAGTATCAAAATAGACGCATCCGACTCAGCAATCGGAGGAGTCTTACAACAATGGGTTAACCATTCCTGGCAACCTTTGGCATTTTTCTCTAGACGGTTGCTAGACACTGAATCAAGATACAGCACATTCGGTAGGGAACTCCTAGCTATGTATTGTGCTGTACGGCATTTTCAACACTATATCGAAGGCCATGAATTCGCCATTTTTACCGACCATAAACCACTTACTTTCTCTTTAAGCTCATCTTCAGACAAGTACTAACCACGTGAGTCTCGGCAACTGGACTACATTTCGCAGTTTACTTCAGATATTCGACACATTTCCGGAGCAAACAATGTAGTTGCAGACGCCTTGCCTCGCATAAATTCCTTGAACAGTTTCCAAGGAATCGACCTTTTAAAACTCGCCCAGCTTATAAAAGAAGACACTGAACTTGAGCACGAGTTATCGTCAACAACCCTCAAGCTGCGGATCAAACAGATGGGACCAGGTAAAAAAACTTTACTGTGTGACACATCTACAGGTAGGGATCGCCCAATCGTGCCGAAACATTATGGACGCAACGTTTTCAATACGTTGCACAAGCTTTCCCATCCAGGTGTTCGTGCAACCATCAAGCTTATAGCAGAACGGTTTTGCTGGCCTGGTATGAATAAAGACGTGAGGGAGTGGGCACGCTCCTGTGTAAACTGTTAGAAATCTGAGGTGATTAAACACAAGAAATATTCCTTAGGTTCATTTAAAACTCCCGATGCTCGTTTCCACCACCTTCATTTGGATTTAATAGGACCTTTATCAGATTCAAATGGATATTCTTATCTTTTAACCTGCGTAGACCGTTTTACTCGATGGCCAGAAGCAGTACCCATCAAAGACATTACTGCTGAGACAGTGGCCTGCGCCTTCGTCGAACGATGGGTAGCGAACTTTGGCTGCCCAACAACAATCACCACAGATCGTGGACGTCAGTTTCAATCTGAACTTTTCCGTTGTCTGACCGCAAAATTAGGAATCACTCGCTTCCGAACGACGGCACACCACCCACAAGCAAACGGGTTGGTAGAACGTTTTCACCAACAACTAAAAGCGTCACTATCAGCCGCAAACGTTTCACAATGGACCGACTCTCTTCCGCTCTTTTTACTAGGTATTCACGATGCAGTGAAAGCTGACATTAAACACACTGCATCTCAACTCGTTTATGAAACGACTCTTCGACTTCCAGGAGGATTCGTGGATCCTTCATCTTCAATGAACATGGATCTAACCTCCCACACGAACAGGTTTACAAACGCAATGCGTTCAGCTAAACCTGCTTCCACTCGACCACAATCAACTGATGTTTTCGTTCAACCTGACCTGCA